CCCCGGGGGGAGGAGGGAGAGGGTTCCGATCTCGTACTCGCGAAAAGAAAACCAGTCCACTGGTAAAAACTTGCGATCCGACGTCGGGATTCTCCTTCCTTCCTTCCTTCCTTCCTTCTCCTCCGGGAAAGATCGACCACCTCCTCCTTACGAGGCGAACATGGAAACTCCACCGGGTTGCCGCGCGTCGCCGTCCCCGTGTCTCATAGCTCGCCGCGATGTACCACCGCGGTTATACGCGGTTACAGTTCGTCGAGGGGCGGTCGCTCAAAGTTTCGTGGCTCGCAGCATACCGCCGCCACCACTCCCTTCACTCGCGGATTGATCGGTTCACCGCGGGAATCGACGAGACCGAGATGCGAAAACGGAACGATCCACCAACAAACAACAACCTTCTCTCGACCGAAACAACAAATAATCTCTCCTTCGAGCACACTGGTCACGAAAAAAACTTGTCACACGATCGTGTATATATTTTATATATATATATATGTATATATTTACATATATATTACGTACATGTATATATATGTATATATATACGTATATACGTACGCACTACCGTCCACGTATCGGAGAAAATAAAGGAAAAATCACTGGCCCCTCTCTCTTTCTCTCTTTCTCTGTTTCCCCGAACTGTCGCACTGTCATCCAACGAGCGCATCCGCGGCTGAGTATCACTCGATTCGATCGGAGAACGCGACACGAACGACGACTCGACTCGACTCGATTCGGCCCGGCCCTTGGGACGACGCCGTGGGACCGGAAGTAACCGGTACCGACACGAATTCACGGAGAGAAGAAGTCGAGAATTCGCGGCGCGCGATGATGCCACTGTCCTCTGTTCTGGCTGGCCCGGCTCTCTCCACTTCCCACAGGGGGTGGGGAGAGGGTTTGTTTCCCAAGTGCTGGTAGTGGCAATGGTCCGTGGAAGGTGGGGTGTGTGTATCTGTGCCCGCGTGTGTGCGCGTGTGTATGCGTGTCTGTGCGCGCGTGCGCGTCCACCGGAC